TTTGACCTGTACTTTTCCTTCCAGTATAACTAGAAGTAATTCATATCTTTCGCCTCTCAAGACATAACCTAAGCATTGCATTTTCCTCTATTTGATTATTCTTAGTAATTCTTTTGGTTTTTACATGCTCTTTTTACCCATGGAATTCTCAACATTTGTCTGTATATATACATCTCGTAGGCATCTATTATTTTTTCTATTTTAGCGTCCATTGTCCAACTTTCATAGCCATACAGTAAGACAGAAAAAACGTAACATCTGATCAATCGGATTCTAAGCTGCAGACTAAGGTCTGATCTTGTAAAAAATGTTTTCATGCTCATGAATGTTTTCCTTGTTTGTTCGATTCTTGATAGGATTTCTTTTTTTTTTTTTTGATTACACTGACTATTGATATTTACTCCCAAATATTTTATGGAATTTACCTATTCTATTATTTGACCAATAAACTTACCTGTGCATACACATGTACGTTTATTGGTGTCTTTGAAAATACTAAAATAACGTTTAGATGTAAACCGAACATTTCGCTGTGGTGAACTACCGCATTTATTATATTTTATAGTTCTTGTGTATTGCTTGCTATTAAGACGGTATCATCAGCGTATCTGATGTTGTTTATGCTGATTCCGTTAATCTTAATTCCGCCTTGGATCTCGTCTAATGCTTCTCTGAATATAGATATATAAATATATATGATACTTAAAAAATGGTGGTATTCTTGACTGTTGATTTAAATATCAAGTGGTGATTCTTTTATTATATTGTTATTATATTGTTATGATTATTTATTTTGGGTTTAATCTTAGTTTATTGAGCCAATAAAAAAATATAACTTATTTGTTATCAAAAGTAAAATAAACTCCTAATATTACCTGTGTTCGATGGATTCAAAGATTTTCTAGTTGTCTTTTATCGGGATAGAGAAGAAGGATAAGAATAAAAAAAATATTATATTACAAAAATTTACGTTTCTTTATTTTATGTGAACGAATAAAACAATTATCAAATTCTGCCGTTATCTTATCAATCAGCATACAAGAAAATAAATCAAATTTTTATAATAATAAAATTTTAAAACTACATACATTTATATTAAGTGAAAGCCAATTTTACTTAAATTTTTCTTTACTTGAAACAAGAAACAACAAAACTTTAAACTTTTGATTAGCCTAACAAAACCTCAGTTCTTAAATTTGAATGCTAAGGACCATGATGTCAAACAGATCCTTCACAAATATCAAATTCAATTGTACAAAACACTTACAGCTTATTTTCTTATTGAGTTGTATGTTGGAACATACCCAGAAAAATCTAGTCTCCTCAACGATGTGATCTCTCCTTTTTGGCACCTAGGCTCCTTCCTAACGACTCTGCAAACCTACTGCACCAACCAAAAACACCTGATTCACTTCTCCAAAAACTCAACTACTTATTAATGACACAAGGACCTCCTTTTGTCAACTTGATGCCGTAAAACTACTTTCACAAATCTTCACAAAATGCCAACGGTAGATACAAGGGCGTCTTTCAATCTACTTGCAAAACTATTTAATTTTTTTCACAATGACGGTATCCAACTCACGAACCACACCCTATCTTGAGACAAACGACTGTTTCCTTCGATGACCAAATTATAAATGACTCTCTCCGTCTCCTCATCAGGCTAACCCCATTACCACTCAAAAACGACTATCCAATCAAAAGTTCCAATCTTGTTTACCACTCTTAATATTTATTTTAAAAATTCTATGTATCATTTGGGAAAGCCAAATTACTGTTTCAGAGAAAAACTAAATAGCTTACTTTAAAATTGGTTTTGTCAATACACAATTTATACATATTTCAAAAGATTAGAATATGGTCACTTAATACTCGATTATACAAACAATGAAAAGATTAACTTACAGGTAAAATGTCTTCTAATTCTAAACAAAGGTTTTTTGATAATTTTGTTGAAAACGGAAAAGGTCGTTTGCCAAACAAATTTTTATTCTTATCCTACACTAAATCTTATCTTAAATTACTAAATACAATTTTGTAAATACTGATATCTTAAAATTTTATTTCGATGGTTTTTTTTATATTTATTTTGTTTGGTTGGGAAAGAAGAAACATAACAATATATATATATATATATATATATATATATATATATATATTTCAAAGAATGCGTAAAAATGAAGTAGAATTAAAAAACTTATGTGATAGATTATTTTTGATTGCATATTTGTATTCTACTTATCAAAATACACAAGAAATTGTGGAGATAATAGATGGAATAAAACATGTGTTGTCCAGTGTTATCACATAATATTAAAGGAGCAATTACCTAAACAATAACTGGAAAAAAGAGAGTTCTTAGATTGGTTGATAAGAAAAGAAATAAAGCTAAAATGAAAATCATGAATGTGTTGCTTGTGTGAGTCCATTTCAAATAGGTAAAGAAATAATAAATAAGACTTACTCACAATCAATTTAATTTAACTATCAGACGACCGGTTTCGCTTTCTACAATATGCAAAGCATCCTCAGGTGTCGATACAAAGTTAAACAAATGCTAAAATAATAAAAACCCATATTAGGGTGTTGTCTAATAACGATAAACACCTTCATGAAACAATTACTCAATAAATAAATAAATAAATAAATAACACACATTTCAAAAATATATCTCTCGAATAAGTATAAATAACTTTTAATAACACAATGGTATATTACATCACTTTCATTTAACAAACAATCATACACATATCTCTTCTTCATTGGATCAAATCTATCTCCTCAAGAACTTCCCGTTTACTGTCAAACAACTGCAATAATAGAATTGAGTTCTCCATTCAACAATACATAGTAATTTCAACCATGTTCTACCATCCATCAATTAATAGAGTACCGGCATGTAAGTAATGTTTATTTTATTTATTTGCTCATTTATTAATTTATTACAATCGAAGAGACTATTTTATAATAATTTGTGGGCCTTACCTTGTCTGTAAACTTTTAAAACTTTTATACTTTTTATTCAACTTACTCATTTAAATAAAACCACAGACATGTAATATTGGCATAATTATTGTAATTTACAACATCTACTTTGTTTATCGTTATTAGACAACACCCTAATATGGGTTTTTATTATTTTAGCATTTGTTTAACTTTGTATCGAGACCTGAGGATGCTTTGCATATTGTAGAAAGCGAAACCGGTCGTCTGATAGTTAAATTAAATTGATTGTGAGTAAGTCTTATTTATTATTTCTTTACCTATCTAAAAGGAAAACTCAAAAAATAGCTTTCGGAGTTATGTAAATTGCATTCACCAACATTTAAGAAATATTCTGTAGATGAAGTAGGAAAACAACGAGGAGTTACGGTGTTGTGATTGCCATTTTGTCATTGAGAACTTAATTTTCTAACAGCTGTGTGAATTCCTCTCGACAGGTTTTCTCAAATAGGTATAGCAAACAATAGATTTAAAGTAAATACAAACATGATCATTCTCATATCCTATCCAGACATTTAGGAACATTTTCAGCATTAAAACTGGAAACCAACTCCATTTTATTTAAAATTTAATTTTCCATGTTTGCTACATTAAACAAAAATTACTGTACAGCTGCCTTTCAAGATATCTCTCAGGTATTAGACAAAATTTGCATTTAGATCTATATCCATATCTCATCTTATTAGCTCACTCTTAAGATTTTACCTAAGATATTAATTTTTCAAGCCAAAATAGGTCGTAAAATCACTTACCTGTTTACAATACGTTTTGGAGTTTTACAAGGTAGCATACTAGGACCCACTCTTTACTTAATATAGACATCAGATCTCCTAACCAGCAATAATACAAGTATCGCTACAAACGCTATCAAAACAGTAATCATAGCACTTATGTAGTACTTATAAAATGAAGATAGCTAAAGCTCATAGTCTATGAATATATATTTGAAATTTAATTTTTATATTGTTGAATAAATAAACTGGAATACAAAAAAATCAAATCTTAGCCTTCAGAACAAACTTCTATACCAAGTAATACCAAAATACAAAGACTTTAACGCTTCTAATCTAAACTCAAGACCTGCAATGCTTTCTAATACGTTACATTACGATCAACAGGTACCAAAAATTAGCGAAGCTATTTCAGCTGTAAACTCTGCATACAAAACCAGACTATGTCGCAATCCAAATCAACTCGCCATGGATCTGCTCAACATTTCACATGATAGAAAATTAAAATGTACCCTTTAGTTTATGTGTATTAAATTGTGTCTATTATTAATTGTTAAGAAACTTAGAGCTAGATATATCATGTAGATTACAATAAAATTATTATTACATATTTTTGCCATTAGACAACTTCCCACTGTGTTATTTTCCAACGGTAATACACGCTGTTGAATATTAATCTTTAGAATGGAATATATTGGAATAAATATTGGACACTAAAAAACAATTCACCATTAAACTCCTATTGAAAATGTTTTTTCTTGAATAAATGGTGTGATATTCTAATTATAAAAAATTACTACTTCACCTATTAAAACCATCCTGTATCTCGTAAGGAGCTTTTTTCTTTTTCTTCTTCATTTTGGATTCTTCGCATCCAGTCACAAAAAGTTGGTTAAATCGACAGAAAGAGACGATTTTCTTGTTTCAATCCTCTGATCTGTCGATTCAAATCAAAACAACTACTAAAGAATTTTTTATTTATTGTTAACTTAATTATTATTATTGGTAAATATTTTTATTGTTGAAATCGTTTAAAGGATTATACAATTACATTCCTACTTTATCTTAAATTCCTTAATAATTAATTAAGGAAACTTGTTATTCACTTTGTAACTTAATGAGACAGAATATTCATAAAAGTATATCATTTTCTCGAACCAGTATTTAATAATGATTCATGGACAGGTCTAAGCAGAATGTCTTCAGTTATTTAAGGGGGGGGGGCAAAAAAACTATAAATTGAATATATGTGGTACTTCTTGTGTATCGATTGCTAATGACATTTTTATTATTACTATAAATTTTGTCGTCTTACTAATTTTATAACAGTAGCTTCGCGTTCTCTAGCTAGTCGATAGCTAACAAAAATGATTTGGTCCTTAAGAAAAAAGTTAAAAATATGGTTGAAAATTATGAATGGTGAAAGGTTAGTATCAAAACAATTTTGACTATTAGATACTTAGTATTAATGTTTAAATATATCTTCACGTTTATAATTTAGATTAAGTTATTTATGCAAGCGCAAACAGTGTTTATTGTTTAAAAACATAAAAAACCCAAATAAAACCAAAAAATGTTTTATTTAGGTGCATTAAAAGTCAGAAAAAAAAAACATAATTTAATTATAAATTATTTAGTAGGGATTTCGCAATAGTGTCAAAGCTGGTAACGAATATTTTGGGAACAATTTAATTCAAACTATATTTGCACCCTGAATATTAGACGTAGATGTAATTTAAAGAATTATTATTTAATTCTACTTATGGACTTATCACTTGAGTAAATATATGTCTTTGGTATCTAGAAGCATCGTTTTCCTTAGACTTCTGCCATCTATCTATTTGCCATCTCGTTTGAGCTCTAATATATCTGATCTAGTATCTGCAGATACTGCAACACCAAATATGTACTGCTGCGCTTACAACAAAGTGTTTTAAAATGTTTTAAAAAAGTTAAAAAGTATTAACTTATTTATTTCTTTTATTGATATTAGTCCTGAGTTTCTATTAGAAATTTGTAAACGTGTTTCTCTGTCAAATATTTAAGACTTTCAAATTTTGTATAGCATCCCTCTTTTAAACGATTATACTTATTTCACATTGTCTTCTGGATTTACTAGTACTCTAGGTACTACTAGAATATTACTCATTTTCAAATTTTGGTGTGTCTTTCTTTAGAAATAGCTTCTTCTTCTTTAGCAGCCTCTTCTGGACCACTTCTGGACATAGGCCTTTTATTGTTTGTCCCATATTTGCCTACCCTGAGTTATTCGGTGCCAATTTTTATCAGACTTTTTTTTAATTTCGTGGATGCATCTTATTTATAATCTTCCTATACCTCGTTTATGGGCTCTTGGTCACCATTGTTTTAGGCTCTGTGACCACTTTTCTTCGCTCTCGCTTGTCATTTGTCCTGTCCACTTCTACTTAGATTTTGTGATAGCTTCGATAACATCTTCTGCTTTGGTATTTCTTTTTAGATCTTTATTTCTCATATAATTTTTTTAAGCTTACATTTACCATGATTATCTCAATAGCCCTTTGAATTGTTCTAAAACTATTTAGAGATTGGTTTTTAAGTAGTCTTCATTCCATGTCAAGATGAAAAGAATACATGTGTCAAAAACTTTTTGTTTTAAATTAATTTGGATTTTTGAATCTTTTATAATAAAGCTTAGTTCGCCTACTGCTACACCGGTCATTCTTATTCTCTTTTTAATTTCTTAAGTTAAATTTTGGGTCTCTTGTTTTATTTCATGTCCCAATACACATTTTCTACATTTTCAGTTTTTCTATTATGTTCTTCAGTTAACATTAAATTAGTTTTCTCAATATTCAGTTTTCCCTCATATCCCCTAAACAAGGCAAATGTAAATAACTAACTATATCGTGTCTCCTTTTCTGAATCCTCTCCCCATTAATATTGCGTTTGTTTTAGTTATCTTAACTTCAAATGTTCTTCTTCTTTGAGTGCCTCTCCTATCGGAGATTGGATATCATTATTGCGATTCTAATTTTATTAACTGCTGTTTTGAATAATTCGTTAGTGGTACAGCCAAACCTTCTTCTTCTTAACGTGCCCTATCAAGTCCCCTTGACGTTGGCGATTAACATGGCGGAACTGTCTCTGTCTCGAGCTATTCTAAAGAGTTGCTCAGCTTTCTTTATTCCTGTCCACTCTCTGATATTCTTCAACCAAGAGGCCTGCTTTCTACCAATTCCTCTGCGTCCTTCGATTTTACCCATCATAATAAGTTGAAGAATATTATATCGGTCTCCCCTTACTACGTGTCCAAAATAGGCCATCTTTCTACATTTGAACTTTCTACAGCCAAACCACTCTCTTAAATTTCTCATCCAGAACATTCTTCTACGGTCTGGATTTCTGAGTCCTTGGATTCTTCCTTGCATTATATTTTGTAGGAACGTGTACTTTTGTCCTCTTATCAGGTGGCCCAAGTATTCAAGTTTTCTCTTTTTTATATTCATAATAACTTCTGGATCGTTATTTATTCTACGCATTACCTCTTCATTTGTAATTTTATCCACCCAACTTATTTTTAGTATACGGCGGTAGCATCACATCTCAAAGCTTTCAAGATTTTTAATATTCCTCTGTTTAAGAGTCCATGCCTCAACACCGTACAGCAAAGTACTGAATACATAGCATTTTAACATTCTAGTTCGTAGATGAATACTAATATGATGATTACAAAATAATTTTTTCATTTTTATAAAGGTAGACCTGGCAATTTCAATACGTCTTTTTATCTCGTGATTTTGGTCACCTGTTTCGTTAATGAGGGTTTCCAAGTATTTGTATACGCTTACTTTTTCAAGTTGAGTACCGTTGTTGTACCATACTAGTGTCATGTATTGGATTCTTACTGAAGGTCATATATTTGGGTTTTTTGAAGTTCTTCCTTATGCCGTAGTTAATACATATTTCATTCATACTTTCAACTTGTCATTATCACATTATCGTCAGCATATCGAATGTTATTGATACTTTCCTACAAATGTTTTCTAAGAGCTTTTTATATCGGCACTCTATCCTGGCGTTATCCAATACATGAAATATTGCTCATTATTCTATGGAATCGAAAGCTTTATTATCATACACAAACGCCAACAGAAATGTGGAATTTTTTTTGAAAAAGAGTTTGCGTATTGATTGAAGATGATACATTTGTACTCTAGCCTTTGCAGAATCCAGACTGATAGGGTGCTTCGTAAGAGTCCAATTTATTTTTAATCTCTTATATCTTTTGTTAATAACTTATAGGTGTGGTAATAGACTAATTGGTCGGTAAGTATTTTTGTTCATTCGTTCTTCTTTCTTGTGCATTAAGATTACTTGTGAGTTGTGCCATTACTCTGGGATTTATTTAGTAGTAAAGTTTTAAGGTTATGTATATATTATTATTATGTTATAACATCGAAGATCTTCAATGCCTTTTAAATGATCTAACTCTTGCAAGTGAAGCTCGGGGTTTGAAAATAAATATCAAGAAGACAAAATCAATGATTTATAAGTAGAAATGATTGCCCCAACTCAAAGATATATGTCTCTGGAGAAGAAATCGAACAAGTCAGGCAATTCAAATACTTGGGATGTTTGCTGATATGAGGGTTGGGGACCCCGAGAATGAATAAAGTAGCAGAGTTGAACAAGCCAGAAATTGCTTTTTTGAGGCTTCGTAAGTTTCTGACTGATCGCAAATTGGACTTCAACCTCCGATACAAGATGCTTAAGTGTTACATGTGGCCTGTTTCCTGTACGGAATGGAAGCATGGACGTTAAAGGCCAGTTCCATTAACAAACTTGAAGTTGTTTGAAATGTGGTGCCTGCGTCGAATGCTCAGAATATCATGGACGGACAGGGTCAGAAATGAGGAAGTACTCAGAAGAGCGGGCTTACCGGATAGGGAACTTTTTAATTATGTAAAACGTAAGAAGACTGCATACTTGGGGCACATTATACGAGGAGAACGATACACTTTTCAGCAACTGATACTCGAAGGGAAGATAGAGGGCTACGAGAGTTCCTACGTAAAAAAATGTCATGGCTGCGCAATATTCGACAATGGACAGGAAATCCACAGCTATGAAATGCTTCGCAATGCTGCTAAAAACAGAATTATTTAATCAGAATATTTAACATCTCACCTGACTAGACGATGTACGGTGGACGCCTACGCAGAAATGCAACGGCACCTTAAGAAGAAGAAGAAGGTTATGTTAGGATTTTCATTGTATCTAAAATTACTTCTCTATCTATTTTGATCATCTCGGTTGTTACTTCATCTTCCCTGAAGCGCGACAGTTTTTCGTTATAAATGAGGCTAACTATATTTCTTCTCTTTGGTACTCGGCTTAAGTATAGTTCTTTATATTATTTTTCGACAATCTCAGATATTTTTCTTATGTCGTTGTTAAATATCTCCACTTGCATTCCTCAATTTTTGTATTGTTGCTGTTTCCATGGAATTCCTGGTTTTTAATATCTTCATGTTTTATTTTGTTGTATGAGCTTTTTTCCTTTTGTTGATTCCTTTATTTTGTTAAATTTTCTTTCCTCGATATTTAATTTATTGTTATTCAATTTTATTTTAAGACAGGATTCTTTAATTACTCCTTTTATTTATGTGCTTATGTTTGCCAAAGTTCATTTATTTTCAGTTCTTCTTTCTTAGGGTGTCTTTGATGGACTAGGAATTTGCTTTCCAATTTGGCGTGTTGATACTTACTTTGGCTTTGATTAAACATTAAACGGTACTCACTTCTTATACTGATAGTTGTTTACAACTGACACGTCCTTGACGATGCGTTTTTTATTCGATATTATGTAATCTATTTGGTATTTTGGCAATTTTGACTTATCCATGTCTACCTTTATTTTTAGCTTTTTTAGAATCCATGCAGTATAAATGTTCAATTTGTAGGTAATATGCTAACATTATAACCTAGTTCATTTGATTCTTCGAGGCCAAATAGCCCAGTCTGGTTATGCAAAAATCATCGATATCACGGCAAAATTTTTCGCAGATTCTGAAGCTTTTAAGCATAGGTGGGGGTTACTAGATGACGAATAGATGAAAAAGTACTCGTAATTTTATCTTGCGTTTTTTTAATCATTTATGGGCACAATTTGATTTTTTGTCTATTATTTTTTCCCTTATATTTTACATAAAAAATATTTATATCAAGGATACCTTTATTTTCCCATTTTATAAATTAAAATATATGGATACGTGGTAAAAAACTCACATTAACAAAAAATCCTTCTATGACCAATAGGAACAAAGTTAGGGACTATTTTTTAAAAAATCATATCTCTATTGTTTATAAACATTAAGAAGTAAAATTTGCATAAATTTTGAATGAAAATTTAAACTTTATATTGAAACTTATAGCTATAAAATG